AAGTGTTTGGGTAAGGTGCATATTGAAGAGGGTTGCTGGAATCATAAGCATTTCAGAGTATGCACTATCAAGGACAGAAATATTTGGTTAAAAGTCCTACTCATGGAGACTACTCTGCACTCTGTGTCAGAGCTGTGTTTTGACTTGGTGCTCATCACATTGGCTTCAGTATACAGCCACCGCTGTCCCCAGGCTCCTCCCAGCACCAGTCCCACCTGTGCCTAAGAAGAGGCACAAGAAATCGCAGCCAGCCAGTAGCTCCCCTTTGTAGTGGAAGCCTGCAGACGAGCTGAGACTCATGCCAGGCTTTTCGTCTTTTCTGAGGCTGCAATGAAGGGCAGGGACTTCACCTAGAGCACTTGGCCCAGTGTTGAGGTAACAACTTCCCAGCAGAATCACATGGACACTGATAACAGCTCAGCTCTGGGAGGGCTCAGCTACAGAGGCTTGTCAGCACTCAGAAGCACAACCCGAAATAGGACCAAAAGCTCAAATAAATCCATCTTACTCTGTATAAAGGTTTTACACAGAGAAAGCTCGTAAGTTCACTTTAATTTTTAGTGAAAAAGAGATGCATAGCTGTTGTTCCCATTCCCACAGGTAACATTTACATCGGTTTTGATAATAAAAGTGGTTTTATTAAGTATAAAAAAGGATTTAAGTGATTGCAAGTGAAAACAGACAGATCAAAATAAAATTAAAAAACAACAAATGGTCTGGTAGTACTTTATAGACTAACAAAACATGTAGATGGCATCATGAGCTTTCGTGGACACAGCCCACTTCTTCAGATGACCAGAGTTTCTTCAGAAAGAAGTGGGCTGTGCCCACAAAAGCTCATGATACCATCTACATGTTTTGTTAGTCTATAAAGTGCTACCAGACCATTTGTTGTTTTTTAAGTTTATCCTGTACAGACTAACTCGGCTACCCCCTGAAGTTTCAGATCAAAATAAGTTATTAAGCAAAAATAAAAACACGCCAGCTAAGCCTAATACACAAAGAAAAGTTGTTACAAGTCATATTTTTCAATCTAGTTCTTATTAGGGATGTTAAATAGTGGGTAATAGAATAGTCGAGTAACCTCATGAACTTTTATCAGTTACTGGCATGTTCTATAGTCCCCAGAGACAGGAACAGTAACCAATGTGCTCCCGGCCCCACTGCCAGGGAGCCTTCTGCCACCTCACGCTGCTGCCTCTGTATTAGAGGCAGCAGCGCAGGGTACCAGGCAGGAGCTGGTCCATTAGTTGAGCCAGTTTAGAAAAACAGGTCTCCATGCATACCATCTGCCTGCTGCCTGCTGATACAGAGGCAGCAGCACAGGATGGAAATAGCCCCTGTCCACGGGGGGTCCAAGCTTCCCATAGACAGAGGTTGCTCCACCTCCCATGAATAAGCCTCTGTCTCTGGTGAGCCTGGGCAGAGGCTGCTTCGCGGCAGCCTCCCCTGTGCATCCCCCCTCCTCGCGCTGCTGCCTCTGACAGCGATGGCAGTGTAGGTGGCACCATGGAGCCAGTGCTGGAGGGAACTGGCTTTTAAGAAGCAGCTGGGGGGAGGATGCGAGTAGTCGAGAAGATTAACGAATAAGCCTAGGCTTATCGGTTGATCGTATACTCAACTATTCGTTTAAATCTCTAGTTCTTACTTCAGGTGCTAGAACTGATCTTTTTTTCTGATCTGGGCCCAGCAATGCTCCTCTACCCCTCTTGTTTCAGTTCTTTTCCAGGTGTTCTTGTGAATCCTTTTAGTGTGGGGAGACAATTTCAAAAACCAGCCGAAGACAATCATTTTTTGCTTTCCATCCCTTACATGGAATTTTCCCAGGGTGTGAATCTTTGTTCAGTTCTCCTCTCCAGAAGAGTACAAAATTCAAGATGGATTCCCACACCAGATGACATGGTCCCCTGTCTTTGTAAAACCAATCACAGTTTAGGCTTACAGGAAAAACAAAACCATTCACAGAACATTGTTTTGATCACCAGGCCATTAAGTTCCTTAAGTACCATTAATTGCTTTCACTAGGAGGCCTAGATTAATAAGCAGGTTTACACTTTGTATTATAACTTCAAATATAAGAATGATACATGCACACAAATATATATACAAATTCAGGAGATCACAAGCTCTGGAATGAGAGATTATTTGCCCAATTGCATAAAACCATATTTGAGTTAAGCATATTCATATTCAAAATCAAATTTCCATAGAAAATATGGGGGTGTAGCCTTACCAAGGGCACGGTCAGCGCTGTTTCTGTGTGCCAGATGACACAGCAGCCCCACATTTGAGTCCATGGCCACCTGCTCAGTGGCCCCAGCAATGGGAGTTCTGGAACCCTGAGGGTGGTTCCCCCCTGTACTGGGAACATATTCATACCTGATATCCTCAATGATGTCTGAAGAATAGGACAGCGCTGTTGCTCAGCTGGTACCACGTTTGAGTTTGACCTGGCCTAAGGCACTGAAACCTTGGTGGCCCCAGCACATCCAACACTTGTAGCAGAAGATGACTCACCAGTATAGCCTGTGACTGCTTCTTCTTCCTATTTTCCTGATAAGGTGGTGGCTGGGCCAACTTACATTCTGCTGCCCTTTT